CATATTTTTAGCCACACAAAACTCATAAGAAAGTGAAGAGGAAAAGTTCATAATTTAAAAGACAAAAGCCTTAAACCTAGTTTTTAAAATATTTTGATGCAGCTATAGGAAGTTTAGGTTTCCAATGTATTTAGTGAAAGAATACTGTTGCAGTGGTATACTATTTTGGAAAGCTCGTTAATTCGGTCTAGCTTAGTATCTTTGGATATATAATCAGATTGGAAGATTTTCAGGTACTTCCAATTCCCTATTCCTAATTTCTTGAAGTCTCATGGAATGACCTGATTCTTCTCTTCTCATTACAAGATAAAAACATTGAAAAACTGCACTGAAGAACTGCATTGCTAAGGCACATGAAAAAACCAGGTGCTTGGTGACAGCCAGCATGGCTTCACTAAAGGGAAATCCTGCCTGACCAATTTGGTGGCCTTCTATGGTGGAGCTACGAAATTGATGGACAGTTGACATCACCTACCTGGACTTGTGCAAACCGTTCTCCACTGTCTCACACGACATACTTGTCTCTAAATTGGAGAGACATCAATTTGATAGGTGGACCACTTGGTGGATAAAGAACTGACTGGATGGCTGCACACAAAGAATTGTGGTCAATGGCTCAATGTCCAGCTGGAGACCAATAACGAGTGGTGTTCCTCAAGGATCGGTGCTGGGACCGGTCTTGCTCAACATCTTTGTTGCTGACATGGACAGTGGGATTGAGTGCGCCCTCAGCAAGTTCGCCAATGACGCCAAGCTGTGTGGATCAGTTGATATGCTGGAGGGAAGGAATGCCATCCAGAGGGACCTCGACACGCTTGCGAGGTGGGCTGATGTCAAACTTATGAAGTTTAACCAAGCAAAGTACATGGTCCTTCACCCTGGGTCAGGACAATCCCAGACGCAGCTACAGGTTGGGCAGAGAAGAGATTCAGAGCAGCCCTGTGGAGAAGGACTTGGGGGTGCTGGTCGATGAGAAAATGAACATGAGCCAGCAGTGTGCGCTTGCAGCCCAGAAAGGCAACCGTATCCTGGGCTGCATCAAAAGGAGCATGACCAGCAGGTTGAAGGAGGTGATCCTGCCCCTCTGCTCTTGTGAGACCTCACCTGGGTTATTGTGTGCAGTTTTGGTGTCCTCAACATAAAAAGGACATGGAACAGTTGGAACAGGTGCAGAGGAAGGCCACGAGGATGGTTGGGGGCTGGAACACCTCCTGTTTGAACATAGGCTGAGAAAGTTGGGGCTGTTCAGCCTGGAGAAGAGAAGGCTGTGTGGAGACCCCATAGCAGCCTTCCAGTATCTGAAGGGGGCCTATAAGGATGCTGAGGAGCTACTCTTCATCAGGGACGGTAGTGGTAGGACAAGGGGTAATGGATTAAAACTTTTTTCAACTTTTAAAAGGAAAACAAGAGGTATCTCAAATTTGATATATGACAAAAAATCTGAATGGAAATAAGGTTGCAATGAAGACATATAAATGTAGACATTTACATGTGTACTGATATATTTAAGTTTCTATCAGAGATCTACTGAACAAAAATTACAGAACAGCTTAATTCAAGTGAATATATAGGGATAAGTTAGCTAAACAGTTTTGAGATTTTTTAGGATGTTGATTGTATAGTCTGAGCACAAGTTTCCACCTGTGGTGCCATCTCAGAGGTCAGCACTGGCAAGTCACAGGACCTAAATGGTGGTGTCTTTCAGCTGATGGAACTTCAAATTCTGGTGCACTTCAGACGGTATTGAATGCCTATGCTTAGATATCTACATCAAGCCCTGGATTTGTGTTAACTTTGAGGGAAATTAGACATCAGCTCACATTGAAGACACTTAATTTTAGGTTATGTATACTGAAATGAAATTCCTAGCCATGTCTTTCACATGAAGCATCTGCCTGATAGACTCTGACCCAATGCAACTGGAAAACTTTTAATAATCTATTGAGAAGTATGCAATGCAACGCTTTAAAAGCTGAAATGCTTATGCTAACCAGGAATTTTCTGTTATTTCCTCCTGAATGTAAAGGAATATGTGAGTCAATGGTCATGTGAGGCAAATAAAAACAAAAATAACACTGAAAGGTCTGATTCTTTTACCTCAACCAAAACCTTCTGAAAAGATAATGTTAAGAAGAAAAAGTAAAGTCAGATTAAGTGATTAAATTATTTTTATATATCCTCTGAAAACATAATGCAATATAGTTTCATGAGAACACTCTCACTCTAAGGCTTAAAATCCTCTTAAAATCCACTTATATCACTTGCTTGTCTACCCTCTCTCCTGCATTCATAAGCAGATGTAATGACCAAGATAAGCACATCAATTTTGATTCTGATAGAGAAACCATTCATTTCATGATGACCCTGGATCTTAAAGGCAATTGCCCACTTATGTTATTGGAGTGGTTAAGCACAGAAGAGATTTTCTTGATACTATTTTCTCTGTATTACCTTTGACACCTTTATATCTGGAAAGTTTCAGGAGTTTCCTGTAATGATCCATTCTGGACTTAGAAGGAAATAAGCTTTCTCTTAGCATCTCTAGCTTCTGGGTCCTGTTTTAATTGAAAAACTGAGTTGACAAAAAAGGTTGAAAAATGTTCAACAAGAAATGTCTAGACAAGTGAAAATCTCAAGGAAGTCTCCTTGGGAGACCAGTTCCAAATATGATTTAAGATTTGGGAAAGATCATCAAATAGTTTTAGAGTTGTAGTAAATATCTTTAAAAGTAACAGTCTTGAGAAGAAAGTCAAAATTAAGTCAGATTTGATTTGAAGAATTTCAAAGGAAAACCACTATAACTGTACAAGACCTAACCTATTTCTACTTTAACCAATCTGATTTTATAAAATTGAAAAAATTGCCTCACAAAACTCTGATTATAATTCTCCATTTTTCTTCTGAAATGGGATCTTTCAGTTAAATCCTAATCTTTGGATGGGTTTCAGGGAATTTTTGTTGTGTACTTCTTCATGGAATTGACAGCTCAATTAAGCAGTATGATTATAAATACTCAGGAGTGAAGCATGTCACTCAGTTTGTCTATAAAATATATGTAAACCCACAAAAAACACACAAAAGCAGTGAGCAAATAATTCACCTTAATTATTTTAACACATAATTTCATCAGCAATTACTTGTATTTGTGCCTTAGAAAAAGACATTTCATCAATCCCAATTTGCAGAAACAATTTTCTGCTTCTTTAATTCCATAGAAACCACCTGCTTGGGAAACAAATTCAGATTATCTAGCCAGAAAATTATAATAAATATCCCTCACACCACTATATCTGTGTTTTCAGTTCACTATTGTAATCTATAACAAGTGGCGCATAGAAAAATATAGCATTAAATGCATGAGCAGTATAATTGACTTTTACTTAAGCAGTCTTCAAAAACCAGACACATTTGGTGCAGGCAGTAAGATAGTCTCTTTCAAGCCATTATTGATGGGGCTTGTATGTTGTTTGATTGGAAGACTTTTTGTATTTAATAAAATGTTTTTCCTCTCATTGTCTCAGCTTCCTTATTAATCAGACCTCAGCATATTTTGCCACAGACACAACTTATGCAATAGTTCCTTTTACAAAGAGATATGGATGTGAAGGATTATTTTTCCCTTTTACATTAGTTACCCTCCTGTTGAAAGTGATAGCTTTCAGCTTGCCAGGAAACATGCATTTTGATTTCTTGCTATTGTATAATAAGCTTGTCATTACAAGGAGCAGCTTGTGCAGCTGTGTTCAGGCGGCACTGCACTGTGACCTGTACTTCCCTTGCCAATCAGGACAATGAGGAGAGAAAACAGATAACAGTCAGAATGCTGCAGATATTGAGGTAAAGAATCACAAAGTGAATTGTTTTTGGCAAAGATAACCTTTTCCCTTGATTTAACAGCCAAAATATGGCTAAAATTTTCCACCACCTTGTCACAAGTTCCATGGAAAGTGACGTCTGAGCTCTCGATACAGAGCATTGGGTACACCTTTCCAGATTTCTCTGAAAAGACTAGAGGCTGTTTAACTTAGACTTACATTGTGGTCATCTCAGTGAAACAATATATATAGAATAAAGTTAGACAATGTTCAAAACTGCTGTACACAATCAAGGTAAATGTATGAACTTGCTATTAAAAAGAAAAAGAAATAGTTACAATTTCTTGAAAGCATTTTGTGTAGTGAAACCACTCTTAAAAACCACTCAGATGTTTCTATTGCTCAGCATCATTATCTAACACATAGGATGATCATATATGATAGTAAATTTGAGTAGGTAATGCTTATAGTAAATATGGAAGATGTATAGTGCTACCTACCATGAATTTCCTCATACTTTGTAATATAAACTGGCTGCATAGAAAGAATAGCACAAACAAGTTTGAAACCATGCTTCAGAAAAGTAAGCATAATGCTGCACTAACACATCACCATGAAATCAATACTGAGACTCTTGTAAAAGATTCTCAAGACACATACATTCTGTGCAACGTTGCTTCCATAAGATATCTGAGAAGAGCTAATCCTGCATTATTCGTTGTTTGATTAAGGACTGATGAACACACAAAGTAGATCATAGACGTGGGAAAAATAATGTGTCAAGAAGTGGTTTTCACAAGTGACTGCTCTTCATGAGATCAAAATACTTATCCTCATTGGAAAAGCAAAGGGAAATAGGACAAGATTAATTAAGGTAACCATGGGTTTTATTCAGTTAGTTATAAAATTTCAATTTGTAGAAACCAAACTGAGAATGCATAACTAGTTGAACTCAATGTTTTGTGCCTCTAAAAGAATGAATTAAGACCTGTAGGGTGTAACTGTGTTTAGAAGAACTATTATGTTGCTATGTGGTACAGGGACAACCCTGATTAGCCTTGATTAGTACCAATGCACAAATGTCAACGTGAGGTTTAGCTCTCTGGCATAAGATTTTCCATACTTATGGGAGTGAGGAAAAGCTTTTCTAGAAGTAATGAGAAACAAGCTACTATTCCACATTTTAAAATGAAACTGAGAACTAATCTCCTCTAAATGAAGTGTTCATTTACTTTTTTCTTTTTTAAATGCTGTTCAGTGCAGGAAGACATGCAGATTGAGAAGCCTGTAAGTATGCTGGCTGGCTGGGTGCCAATTGCTCAAAAAAAAACCTTATATGAAGATTTAGTAGTTTCAGCTTATATACTGTTACATGTTTTTAGCGATGCCTGAGATAATAACTATGATATAATTGAAATGTGATGAATACAATTATGTTTAGCTGACTTCCTGTACACAGATGATTTCTAACTCAATAGATAAACATTCAGTTGTTAGAAAGCAGACATATAATGAGAAGAAAAATACCATGTCTGGTCCTACATCTGAGAGTATGGAATGCCAGCACAGGAAAAACTAAAAAGAAGGTATTTTACTAACATAATAAGTGAAAAAAGATAATAAAAACCATGGAACTATGTTCAATAATAGAGAGAAGATAATTCTCAGTTATTGTGTGAAAAAAACATTTCTCTTCAATTGTACTGGGACACTACTTTGATGTGTTCCCATGTGAGGTCTGAATTTTCATTTAATTCCCAATAGGGTTTAATTTTTTTCTATTTTTTTTTCAAATTAAATATTGGATGATATTGAAGTTCATCTAATTTTCTGTAAAGACCTTTTAATTTTCAGTCTATTTCTGGCTTTGTGTAGTTATTAATCAAATTCTACCTGAGAAAAGCTGTGACTTCCTCACTTCATCTTCCTCAGCCAAACTTTGAACATGGTTTATTCATAAAACACATTATACATTTTCTGCTAAAGAAACAAAAAACACCTGGAAGACAGTTAGAAGATGACAGAGATGATATGGAATAATAAAAAATATGTCTGAAAGAGATCTTAAGGGTTTATTTGATGCATTCTCTGCCTTATTCCAGGATCAATTATCATCTCTCAAAAACGTTTGTCTAGCTTACTGTTAGAGAAATCTCTGCTGATTGTCATTTGAAACGTCTCTGAACTCTATTAAAAGTTTCTTTTTGGCATTTACCCAAAATCTGTGCCTTGAGACTTATGCCAAAAATTTTAAGGTTGAATCCATAACTGATGCTCAGAACATTACATTCATTTATTTTATGAATCTCTTTTACACACTGCAAGATTTCTTTAATATAAAAATGTCAGGGAATATACTAGGGAGAAGAAGGTCAGCCCATCTAATTTTTCCGCATATACTCCTTCGTAACCAGTTCTTATCGGCTAGCCTTAGATACAGAATAGTTAGGTGTACCTTTGGACACAATAATTTTAGTATTACCTCTTTCAGTCCTTTCTAAATTTTTTCTTGTTCTTTCACTAGATGAGGCTGTTTCCAGATTTCCCGCTGTTGCTTACTTTTTCCTTGACATTATAGAATCATAGAACAGTTAGGGTTGGAAAGGACCTTAAGATCATCTAGTTCCAAAACCCCTGCCACGAGCAGGGACACTTCACACCAGATTATGTCACCCAAGGCTCTGTCCAGCCCGGTCTTGAACACTGCCACGGTTGGAGCATTTACCACTTCTCTGGGCAACCTGCTCCAGTGCCTCACTACCCTTATCGTAAAGAACTTCTTCCTTATATCCAATCCAAACTTCCCCTTTTTAAGTTTTAACCCATTACCCCTTGTCCTATCACTACAGTCCCTGATGAAGAGTCCCTCTCTAACAACCTTGAGGCCCCCTTCAGATACTAGAATGCTGCTCTGAGGTCTCCAAGCAGCTTTCCCTTCTCCAGGCTGAACAGCCCCAATTTTCTCAGCCTGTCTTCATACAGGAGGTGCTCCAGCTCCTTTATTATCCTTACGCCCCTCCTCTGGACTTGTTCTAACAGTTCCATGTCCTTGTTATGTTGAGGACACCAGAACTGCACACAGTACTCTATGTGAGGCCTCACGAGAGCAGAGTAGAGGGGTAGGATCACCTCCTTCGACCTGCTGGTCACACTTCTTTTGATGCAGCCCAGTATACAGCTGGTTTCCTGGGCTAGGAGTGCACACTGCCAGATCATGTTCAGTTTCTCATCTGCAAACACCTCCAAGTCCTTCTCTGCAGGGCTGCTCTGAACCACTTATCATCAGATAACTGACTCCAATTTTGTAATAAGCTGTGAATAACTATTGTTTTACTATGTATCAAAATTTTCCTTTTCAAACTAGTTTTCCATCCAGCTTAGTGTTTTCCTATCTATAGCATGTGTCTCTACCTTGTTTAAGAAAGTGTTATGAAAGAGAAAACCAAAAGTTTATGAATGTTTGTCCTGGGGTCAGCAGTAGCAGTCATTTTTCTCCTTCTTAGTAGCTGGTGCAGCACTGTTGTTTTGACTTTTAGCCTGGCAACAGCACTGATAACACCAGTGGTTTTAGTTGTTGCTAAGTCATGTTTAGTCTGACCAAGGACTTCCTGAGTTTCATACTCTGCCAGGGAGAAGGGGAAGCTGGGGGGAGCAGAGACAGGACATCTGACCCAAACAAACCAAAGAGGTATTCCATACCACAGCATGTCAGTGGCAAACAATGATAGGACAAGGGGTAATGGGTACAAACTAGAACACAAGAGGTTCCACTTAAACTTGAGAAGAAACTTCTTCTCAGTGAGGGTGACGGAACACTGGAACAGGCTGCTCAGGGAGGTTGTGGAGTCTCCTTCCCTGGAGACATTCAAAACCCGCCTGGACACATTCCTGTGTAACATTATCTAGGTGTTCCTGCTCCGGCAGGGGGATTGGACTAGATGATCTTTTGAGGTCCCTTCCAATCTCTAGCATACTGTGATACTGTGATGTCATGCCCAGTGTACAAACTGGGGGCAGTTACCCAGAAGGGCTAGATCGCTGCTTGGGTCTGGCTGGGTATCTGTCAGCGGGTGGTGAGAGGTTGTATTCTCTTTCCTTGTTATTTCCCTTATCATTATTATTATTGGTGGTAGCAGTAGTGGTTTGTGTTATACCTTAGTTACTGGACTGTTCTTATCTCAAACCATGGGAGTTACATTCTTTTGATTCTCCTCCCCATCCCTCCAGGAGCTGGGAGAGGAAGAAGGCAGGGGAGTGAGCTAGTGGCTGTGTGGTTCTGAGTTACTGGCAGGGCTTAAACCACAATGATGTATATATTGCATATACTTTTTCCACTTTCCATTAAAGATTGTTCTTTCTGCCACAGAGGAAATGAAATTGTTTCGACCAGGTTTGTTCTTATAATAGGCCAAAATTATCTGAGTTATTTCATTGCCTCTGGACACTGGAACTTAGATTTTGCATACCTGAGGAGAGACTTTTATGCAGATCACTGCAAAGCTTCAGCAATTCTTATAACCTAATTTCCTTTTTTGGTTGTTGTTTAAATACTTAATTTTAATAGTTAGAACAGTAGTTGTTTTTTGTATAATACTCGTGTTGCTCTTGGTGCCTTAACGTGAGACCTTGGAACCTACTGTTTCAATCTCAGTCACATTTCATGTGAATTACAGGTGTATTTGTTTAAAGTAAAGATTCCACTTGACTGGAAGAAAATAAAGCTTTTATTTATAATCATGCCTTTGTGCAGTGGTTTAATGTCATTTAGAACAGGTACGCTGCAATTCTCATTTCCACTGCCGGAATGAGACATACTTGGAAATGAAGATTGTTTATTTTTCCTTCTATTCTACAAAACAAGAAATTCACATTTTTAAAACAACTAAATATATACACAAATATTTTACCCAAAGGCTGTACCTTTGCCGAAGGGAATTGCTTTTACAGTAAATCAGCCAACAAGTTTTCTAGCTTCTTTGTGTAGTCATGAGCTTAGCTATGTCAAGAGGTAAAACTAATTGCCTTGGTACCACAAAGATATGAAACTTTGAAAAACAAATTCTTGCATGTTGCCACTCAGAAAACACGTGTTTTTAAGAAGGAAAGCCAGAATATCTATGCCTGATTTTTTACTAGCTCAATAATGAGCTTGATTTAGTAAAAGCATTGATAATCATACCAAATATACCAAAGTGTAATTGACTAGAACAAACACTTAAATATGAATTAACCCTTTCTCACTTCTTTCTTAGAATATCAGTAAATTTTACCACAATAAATGCATCTCCTACATATGATTGACTGGAAGCAGATTTCTGTATGGTGACAGGAATATCACAGGAATTTTAAACAGAAAAAAAGTTTATTTACTATAGATAGAGGAAGAAAAATTATTATTTTCCTCCATATGTATCCTTTCTAACTGCAATCTTTTATTAGCTTGTTTTCTGAACACTAAGGTAATGTAGATATGAGCCAGACTTAGCTTAGACTGTCATACAAAAGCCCTAGTCTAGCAAAAAACCCACCAAGCCCCTTATTGTCATATGTATCAGATCAAGTTTAATCCTTCCATCTAAAGCCCACTTCTAGTAGAAATGTCCTATCATGTGCTTACATATAGAAATCTATAGAAATGTCCTACTTTTTTTTCCTTTTCTATATTCATATGTTATTTTCAATAGTTCTGCAAAAGGCATTTAAAATTTAATGGTTTGGTAAGCTTTTTTTGGCAGTGAAAGGGAAAAACAGCAGTGAAAGAAGCACATTATAGAATCATAGAATCACAGAATAGTTAGGGTTGGAAAAGACCTTAAGATCATCTAGTTCCAACCCCCCTGCCATGGGCAGGGACACCTCACACTAAACCATCTCACTCAAGGCTTTATCCAACCTGGTCTTGAACGCTGCCAGGGATGGAGCATTCACAACTTCCCTGGGCACCCCATTCCAGTGCCTCACCACCCTAACAGGAAAGAACTTCTTCCTTATATCCAATCTAAACTTCCCCTGTTTAGGTTTTAACCTGTTACCCCTTGTCCTGTCACTACAGTCCCTAATGAAGAGTCCCTCCCCAGTATCCCTATAGGCCCCCTCCAGATACTGGAAGGCTGCTATGAGGTCTCCATGCAGCCTTCTCTTCTCCAGGCTGAACACCCCCAGCTTTATCAGCCTATCTTCATACGGAAGGTGCTCCAGTCCCCTGATCATCCTCGTGGCCCTCCTCTGGACTTGTTCCAACAGTTCCATGTCCTTTTTATGTTGAGGACCCCAGAACTGCACACAAT